TTCCAAGAGCTTCTGGCACAAAACGACTGCATTGAGCTGCAATTATATTGTCTCCATAAATATTTTAACTTCTTAAGCACAGCAAAGAGGAAATAACTCTTCAGGGTGGAGTTAATAAGACCAAACCTCATTAAATCTCCCTAGGACAGACTGACAAATGTTTTAATAAGGTGATGGGAAGGACTCCTTTGGATCTGGGCTTCTTGATGACTTCTGTTTGCAACACCAAAGAAGACTTTTGCTAGAGGAGAGCCCGAGGGATCGCTGAAAAGCCTCTGAGCACCTGCGTTTCCGACCCAGCTCCTGAGGGCAGATGTCACAGCTGGGTTGGGAAGCAGCCAGGGTTAGCTAAGTGGGGGAAACTCCCCACACCGTCGTTTGAATTTCAGAACTGTTTGACTTACTGGCCTGCCAAAAAGCGTCAGATCTTCACGGACACCCCAATATTCCTCTGCTTTGGCTGGAGTAGCTCTGTACCCAACACCCATCTGTCCAGAGCACCTCGATGTAGGGAGTGAAGCTGATTTAAATGAACGTAGGAATCACCTGTGTGGTTTTTCCTAAAGCTGAACCAAGTTTATAGGCTGTAATGAGGTAATAAAATCCAGACATTTAAGTACACATACCCTTGCAGCCTTATCTTCTAACACCCGGAGTCAGTTCGCGTGATCAGGCAGCACTCGGCATAGCCCGTGCCTTCATAAATATGATTTTCTGAAGGGAGCAGGCTCCCATGTTAGGGAGAGTGATCTGTTCACACGAGGCATGGGAAGGGCTGGTTAGGGAGTTCGTGCATGGCGTTTGCAGGAGACAGGCTGTAGAGGCTTGGAGAGCAGCAGAAAGGTGGAGGTAAATAGCAGCACGTTACCCCATTTATTTGATGCGTGGATTGAAACGGAAAAGCAGCAGCGCATCCTTTGTGCCTCCAGAAGTGATAAACAGCACGGATCAAGTGTGAAATCAGCCGATGGGCTCGGAGAATCCATGGGGGATTTGCCACGTGGTTTGGATGACTTTCGGAGAAGAGGACAAGGCAGTGGTGTTCAAGATCACACTGGAAAGGGAAATTAATGGGGAATTACTCTGTCTTTGCAGTGCAGTTGTGCTTGGAGCAGCAGTGGGGGTCTTGGAGCACAAGGACCAGGGTGCGGCCCCCAGCTCCAGCCAGCCCCATGCATGCGTCCAGCTTGCTTGGCAGGGTAAATTGTGTCCCAGAAAACCAGCGCTCTTAATTAAAAGAGCAATCCAGTCAGCTGCTCGAAGGAGCGCGCACAGCTCTGTGTTGAGCGGCGGCAGGTCCCGGGGGCCTGCAGGTCGGTGTTCAATCCAGGAGGAGGAACACAGCCCCCAGCCCACGGGAACAGCCACCCTGCATGAGGCAGCAAGCAGATCGGCAATCAGAGCAGGGCTGGGTGCAAGAGTTAATCAAAATCTAGCTGTAATTATAGCAGAGCCCGTTTGAGCTCCTGATTAACATATCTGTGCCTTCATTACGGGCAGGCTGCGGGTTGCAGGCAGGGGCGTGCGCAAGGGGAGCAGCCTTGGAGGGTGGGCAGCTACGGAAGAAATCATTTCAGATCCCAGATGCAAAGGTACGTCTTTGCCAAGGAGATTTATCGATTTAATACACCCTCCTTAGCCAGTGTGTGGAGAGTGGAAGATGTACTAAATGGTAAAAGTATCGCCTGGGTGAGCGAGCCCAGTGTGGGGCTCTTTCCAAAGCCTGCCAGCAGAGGAAGGTGCAGGGCAAGGGACTTGAACGGGGAGTTTAAAACACTGTGTGCACAGAATTGTCCAGGTGTGATGTGTGTGCCTGTCTCTATATGTACAATGCGGTGCTTGGAAAGAATACACACACATCAGTAGTGTACATTGCGCCTTGTGGGTGAGTTGTGGGTATTTTTCTATGGAGAACAGAGATAGCCCAGCTATCCAGGAATATTTGTGACTGTATTCAAGTTTTTTCTCCCAATCCAAATGCTCAACAAATGTTTTCACATCACTACCTTGGGTCTCTCGCTGTTTATTTGTCTCGCTGCGGTGCCCGTGCCTCCCACGGAGGGGCCTTGGTGTGGTGCTCCACCAGCTGCCGCATCCGTGGTCCCAGCCTGGCTTTTCAGGCACTGGCCCAGGCTAGCAGGCGTGGTGGGGTTGGGGTGATGGTTGGACTTGATGGTCTTAGAGGTCTTTTCCAACCTATGATTCTACGATTCATCCAGCTCCCTGCCCGCGTGGAGCGAGTGAAAACTGTGCAGGCCTTGGCAGGAGATGCCCAAGCTCGGCATGGTAGGGCCACATCCCAGGGGTAAGGACTCGGCGTGCAGAAGCCCAGCAGCAATCGCTCCGTGGCAGGCAGGGGAGTGCAGCCAGCCCTGGGAGGCTGCGTGCTTTTGTGGCGCGTCACCCACTGCTCTGCACCCTGCTAAAATAAGGCAGAATTCTGAAGTGGGAGAGCGAGGAAGACATCGATCTTCTGTTCCCCCCGTCGAGGCAGAGGTGGTCTCAAGGCAAGCCCAATACGGACACCGCTCCATTGCGCTCCTCGTCCCGTGCCCGTTCATACGGTGTCGCGCCGGCTGCGCTTGGTTTCAGGGCATTATGGATCTCTGTGCTAACAACCAGCAGGCAAGTGGATTTTTCAAAGCTGGCTGACCTTGTTTTCAAACATCTCCAGGCCATGGAGGAAAGAGATAACTCAGAGGTGATCGCTCAGTGTTAAGGGTTGCGCTTCTGAGGCTTTGCTGATCCCTGGCCGGGGAGATCCCCACCCTTTCCTGCCCGGTCTTCTGACACGTCTGCCCGTATCCCACAGCGATGCCGGCTTTCTTCCCTCTCATCTGGCTGTCAGGTACTGGTGATGCTGGTGGAGTGCACTGTGCTGTGCTGGGGAGCATTGGGGCTGGAGAGGGGCACGTGGTACTGCTTGAAGAAAGGCTCCAAAGGCGGCAGGGTCCCACGTGCGCTGCCGAGTACATCTCCCAAAACGGAGGATCTTCCCCATGCTTGGTCCTCATGCAGATCTGCTGCAGCCCCTGGAGCGCCCTGGGCCGCTCCCGTCTCCCTTTGACTGGTGTCCTGGGACGGGCTGTGCCGGTGAAGGAGCGATGCAGCACACCGGTCCCTGCCCTCCTCACACCTCCCTCCCTGCCACCCATGGGTGCTGCAGCGGGCGGCTGCCAGAGAGCACGAGTACGGCACATTGCACGGCAGTTTGCTGCAGCGTCACCTTCCCTTCCACGCAGAAACGCCATCACTGGGACAGGGAGAGGAGCAAGGTTTGTGTGTTAGGAGAAGTCATCCACCACCGCACTAGTAGGGTGCTCAAGAAACTGCCGAGAAACTTGTGCTCCCCTACCAAATCAGGGGTGAGAAATCAGCTCTGCAACCACTTTCCCCAGATGTCTTTTTCTTCAGCTCATTCTTCTTTATGATTTCAAATATGAGATAAAGGTCCTCTGGGTTCTCGTGGAGCTGCTCTGGTTGCCATGGAAGTAATCCTTGTTAATCACTTCACCATAAACCAAGAATAACGTGAGTGGTGTTGTGCCACTGCGTGCTCAGATGGCTGGTGGTGTTGGGACCATTCCATCCTCACCCCCAAGTCTGGTCATTGCCAGTGGCATGCAGGGAGCCAGGAGCATCCGTCCCCATCTCCTGGTGCCAAGAAGTTGTGAGTCCCGGAGAAGCTGCGTGCCGGGAGGTGCTGGCACATGGGGAAGGGCTGCCTGGGAGGGTTTCCACATGGCTGTCCCAGCAGGCACTGAGGGGTTGGAGGGAGTCCGGAGGAAAAAGGATGCTGGCGAGTTTGGGTTTAGAGAAGCCGTTTCTTTCACTGCAAATTTTTTCAGCTCTGATGCTGGTTGTCTTCAGCCAGACCTGGTGTGGCCAGTTGCCTGACTGGGCTGGGCTTGGTCCATTTCAGCTGGGGTCAGACCAGTTGGGCTGGTGTTGAAGTGAATGGAGTGGTGTTGGGCCAATGCTGGGCTGGTTGGGCCAGCGTTGGACTGGTTGTGCTGGTGTTGGTCTGGTGGTACCAGTGCTGGTCCAGTTGTGTCAGTGTCCTGCCTCTGCCGGTGGCTGGCGGGAGGTGGAGAAGCAGGACCACGCCGTGGGCAGGGCGCAGGAAGGTGTGCTGGGGAAGGGGCCCTGGGTGCTTTAAGCAGATTGGTTGTGCTGTTAAAACATTTTATTATTTTCTGTCTTGGGAGGGTTTGGATTACCCCTGGAGCTTCTGTGGCTCGAGCAGCTCGTGCTTCTCCGCCACAGCTCCCTCGGAGCCCTAATGATGAAATACGCTGAGGCGTTTGTCTCACCACGTGGGATGGGGGGGACACTGAGTGGTGGCTGCCAGAGCTTTCTGCCACTGGCTTGAAGGCATCTTCAGCTTGTGGTTCCCTGGTGAGAGCCGTGCTCATCGTCCCAAACCGTTTTTACTTTAGCGCTGGGTTGGCCGCACCGTTATGGACTGCGTAATGTGCTGAAGCTCCCGGAGCGGGGCTCTCCAAATCTCAGGGGGGACCACATTCCATGCCTGCACCCGCTGGCTCTCCCCTTGCAAGACAATAGTGACGTAATTTAAGGTCATGGTAAGGAGAGCAGCTATGGACTTTGGGTAATTGCCTCGTTAAATTGCTTTACTTATAGATAAATAGAGATAATATATAGATGATAATATAGATAAATTTAAAAATCTCTTTATAGATAGATACAGCAATGCTGATGTGCCTCGCTCCCTCTCACCACAACCTCTTTAAGTCTCTCCCAGAGACGATCGATGCTGGAGGGGCATTATGCTGGGTGACCCATGGATGCTGGAGGTCTATCTGCTTCCCGTGGGGTGGGACAGCGCGTGCCCCTTCCTCCTGTGGCCCCTCCAGTTGGGTCACGGAGGGGACCATCTTGCGCACGGGATGTTGGAGGGATGCTGCACCAGCCGGGGTGCCCGTGGGCGCTGGGCGGTCAGCGTTGGGTCTCACCGCGCTCGCTGTCTGCCTCGGCAGGTGTCGGAGAGCGGCAGCAACGTGGCCCAGTTCGTGCCCCGCTTCCTGCTCAAGGAGACGGCGAACCAGACCCAGCAGCTGCTGAGCTCTGTGGAGAGCGCCGTGGATGCCATCGACGAGCAAACCAACCCTACCAGGTCTGCAGCACCTCCTGCCCTCCTCTTGGCTTCCCGGTTGGTTTTGGTGCCGGGGGGGTGGAGGGAGAGGCAGAGGACGCCTTCGCATGGCGAGGGAAAATTCAGCAGGTGGCGTGCGGGAGTGGAGGGGAGCCGGGCCATCGGCCGCCTTTCTCTTTGCCTCCCTTCCTGCCTTCCTGAGAGTCCTCGGGGCTTTCCTCTGCTGCTTTGTCCTCCCTGTCCCTGCCTTTCCCACAGCCTGAAGGGTCCTGCTTGATCCCTCCATCTGCGAGCGGTGCAGGAGGGGACACGAGAGGGGGGCCACAACCCAGGGCTGGGCTGGGTGGCACCAGCTGCATGGTGCTACAAGTGCAGGGTCCTGCACCTGGGGAGGAACAACCCCATGCACCAGTACAGGCTGGGGCTGACCTGCTGGAGAGCAGTTCTGCGGAGAGTGACGTGGGAGTGCTGGTGGACAGCAGGTTGAACAAGAGCCAGCAGCGTGGCCTGCCTGCCAAGAAAGCAAATAGGATCCTGGGGTGCATCAGGACGAGTGTGGCCAGCAGGTCGAGGGAGGTTCTCCTCCTCCTCTACAATGCCCTGG